GATGCTTGAGGTCGACGCAACGATGATGACCCACCCCCGTCCCCGTCGTCCGTTCACGTCGCGCACCGCATGGCAAGGACACGCTTACGGGCAAGGTCTTGCGCGTGGGCCACGTCGTCAACAGCGACCTCGAGGCTCATCTCGAGGGCGATCGCGAAGCGACGCGCCGCGGCCACGCAGGTGCACTTCGCAGTGCGCATCCTCATTCGTGCTTTGCACGGGCAAAACTACTGGGTGTGCTCGGCTTCTCGATGTCGCAATCTCTGTTACTGATTGCGCCCAGAGACAGCCTACGCGCGGAGCGAGATCGTTCCGCAACTCCTGCCCACCTGGGCTGGCGCGAACACCAGCTTATGCTGCAGTACATGCCGTGGGGCAGACCACGACACGGCGCATGAACGAGGGCACGACTGTCGCGCAGGACGTCATCGCGAGACGCTCGGTGACTCCATAGCGCACATGCGCATCCACACATCCCTGCTGCACAGGCATCGACCCCGCGCACTTGAGGTTCCAGCAGCAGACGAGAACGAGATGGCGTATCACACGGCGGCTGGGACGCAGAGTGTACATGCGGCAAGACGAGATCGTCGCCCGTGATGCGGCAGGCCCCAAGCAAGCACTTCCAAAGGTCGAGGAGCGCGTGGCTCTGGATCGGGACAAGATAGCGCCTGGGAAGGCGTTCAAGGGTGAGGCGGGAGCAGTGACGAGCACCGACGAAGCGGGCCTTGTACGGCTGAAGGCGGGCTGGGGTGCGCTTTTCCGCCTTACTTTCTGCTGCGCGCTTACGCTATCTTCTGCCAAGGCAAGGAGCTCGAGATCAAGCCGGCGTGTCCCAAGTGAACCGACGGTCTCGCAACACAAACTTGGACTCAATAGGCTGCATCTTTGTTTAGATACATATGTGCGCAGCAACTGATAAATCTCTCTGCGGTATCAATGCTTGCAGAAATACTGGATGCACCAAAGTACCCGACTTGACCAGCCGTACGGAAACATGACCGAAAAACCATCGGCCCGCCCGCCCCTCTCGGGCCGTTCCCTGAAATCTGAAAACAACTGACAGTAATACTAGGCGCACAAGAAAGTGAGAACGTTCAGCATCTGTTGTCTGGGAAGTGAAAATTACGATATAGAGGCAGAGTTTCGGGCGGCCAGAAATCATTACGAAACTTTCTGTGTCAGCTACCATTCTGTGACCCCACGATTTCTGTTCTGACCGTTTCATTTCATGAAGTGTGTGTGGTCTCATTGCGAGCGAAGCGAAGCAATTCTACTCTAAAGGCACGTGACGGGGTACAGGGCTAGAAATCCGAACAAACAAGAGCAAGCTTCAAACTGCGTGGCTGACAGACCCTCCCGGAAAGAATGCTCTCAAAAACGTTCAATTCGGGGTCGATCCGCCTGGAAAGTGTTCCGATCACCGCCGTTTTCATAGACGGTTCGAACCATACCAGATACATGACCGGCGGGCAAGGATTAATTGTGCTTGAAATGAGGGGTGTGCGTAATCTTGCATTCGTAATGTGGCTGTGCTCGGATAAAGCCGCCGTGCGCTGCTTCGCGAGCACCCCGCGCCTCAGCGTACCCCTAGTTAGTCATCGTACAGCTTCGTTCAACAGTGTCAAAATGTCGCAGATCGATCGAGTCTCTACTCCCTACCACCACGGCGCCCCTTTTAAAATTCTCAAGAAGCGCTAATTGTACTACACAATGCCGTTGTACGTGCGCCGACTGGACATTTATGAACACCACTGATAGAAGCAGACGTTTCAAGATGCGCTGGAGCAATTTCAATACTTACCTTGAAGACCAGGCGCCTGAATGGCCCGTCTCAACTTTCATGATCTATCTACCAAAGGGAACGCCAAGCTTGTTTGTCTCCCAACCAATACAACGTCTTGCGGTCACTCACGCCACAAATAGCTCGCATGACCCGAAGGTCGCCAACGTACTCAACACCTTCGCGCGCACACTACCGAGTGGTGGCACTGTCTGCTCGACGCACTATCCGAAGGAGGCGCTTGCGTGGGTCGAGGCCCACTACAACGGTCGTCTTCTCGCCACTATATGTGCGCGCGGGCTCGGTGGCCCCATGGCCACGATGCTATTCCCCGAGAGGCAGGCCTTGGCCATTTTTGACTCGATCAAGGAGAAAGGGGTGCGCATAGCCCGGCAAACGCTCGCTGATGCGTCGGGATATGCGGTGATCATTCAGCCTCGCTCAGACGATCCGGTGCTGGTGTGGGATGCGCCTCGTATGGATCCAGCTTTTTCCGGTGCGAAGGCCGACAATGGTGATTCTACAAACGTGGGAGGTACCAACGTCGACGAGGAAGGCAGCGACACGGGAGATGGACTTGGTGGAATGGATCCACCAACAGGTGACGAGGAAATAGGTCGCTTCGCGCCGTGGAGGAGCCCGGTCCACAGCTCGAACATCCGGTTACAACTGTCTCCCACGTCGGCCCTCACACACGACGTTACTATCGCTTTAGAAACGCAGGTGCCGAGCCGTTCAATCTCGTCTCGTTTTCATCAGTCTAACTCAACCGTGCGCATAGTTCACACTCCAAACCCCGTACGAAAGAGTAAATCGACGCGGTTTCCACCGTCCCCGCTCGCCCATCGTCTCTCGGACTCACCTGAAGGTGACCTCGAATGATCTTCAAGTTCTTCCAGATCGCTCGTACGGCAGCGTCGTGTTTTCAACTCGCGATGATTACCTTTACGACCAGGAATGGTGCGGGACACCATTTCTCATTTACGCCTATCTCAATCGGTTAACCTACCTTTATATCAAGGATAGATTGTGGTTTCGACAGGCCAACACACACGATGATTTATACAAAATGGAGGAATCTTGAGTTGTTCTTCTTTTGGTTAAAGTTGCACTACAAATCCGATACCAAGAAAAAGGTAGTGGAACACATTGATGAGGTACCGGAAGCATACACTTTGCGACCTTTTCACTGATGTCTCGAGCTCCAGCACACCCCCAAGTGGACAGTCTCCCACGAACGCAACATCTTTCTGTCTCGCAACGCATGCTGCAGTTTTGGATGCGATGCCGACGCGGAGAAGAATATTCGACACCCGATGGAGGTCGTTTATTCCGTCGGAATCTCTGTTCCTCGGAACATTGTGAGCCTTCCATTCGTCTATCTCCGTGATGAAACCAAAACCGCGCGTAGGACCGACGCACAGAGCTCCCCACAGTCTCGTTTATCGCCCACAATCAGACCATGTTATGGGTTCCCAATGGCCAGCTCAGAGCGAAAGGGTTCGGGATAATAGTCGTATCGTCCGTAAGACAATCTGTTTCACCGATGACACATGGAAGATTCACCAGCTCTGTAGTCATACATTCCGAATTGCCAGTCACACCCCGGTTCTCAGCGTACATGATGCGGTGCCCGACCTCAGTTATGGTATGTCGGTTTATTTCGTGGGTTATGCAACATTCTCAAGCGGCTGAGAAGATGTTCTTTCTTCAAAAACTGCCAGCAGCTCCAAGATGCCCAAGGCCGTCCTCATCGCCACGCCGCTATCGTTGAATTCGGTGATCGGTCGCTGGAAAGAGAAGTTCAAGCTGCCTCTTCACAGCGACGTTGACCAGGTGCAGCCCCGAGGATGGGCTCCAGAGCAACGACGGTGGCTTTCGCAAACATATCCCGCATTGCGGCCGGGGCCCGAGTCTTGTAAACTCGAGCCTTCAGAGGAATACTGACAGAACAGAACTCTGGCTAACACAGCTGAACTGCGATCTTGTAAATGCATACAGCCAACCTTGTGAACGTGTCTCCCTCTGTGAATTAGATCGGCGGAATACCTGGTTGCGTCCTCGGCTTAAACTGCAACGGTGAAAACGTGCAAGAGACGCCCACTCCCTCCTGATCCAATCTGTTGAGAACTTCACAGCCAAGAGAAAAAAATGTCCTCCGGTCTGTATAGTACGGCTCAGGACCGACTCGGAGTCGAACGGGCGTTTCTTGCAGGATTCCGAATTGGGATCGCTATAACGGATGTGAGGGTGGACCGTCCGCCACGGAGCCGATACGTGCTGCGTTCTCAAGCCGGATGTACTACCATTATCACTCCAGTGGTTGGATGATAAGAGCGAAAGAAAAGCAATTCACACACACGTATAGCTCAGGCCTGAGTCGAACGGGCGTCTCTCGCAGAATTATTTTCACCGTACCAGAATTATTCCAAGCGAGCGTGGACCGTCCACTACCGTCGAGCTAATGTGAAGTGGGTTGCGTCGTTGAATTTACTACCGAGTTCATCCCAAAGGGGAGAAAAAACTGCTCTCCAGCTTACATGGCTAGGCGTCTCACCATATCCAGCTTGGAATAACGGATATGAGCCACCACGGAGCCGATTATAGTGAGTTGCGTTGTTGGATTTACTATGTACCGAGTTTATCAGCGCTTTTAGACTCGTTACCAGCCTGCCTACGCCGTTCTAACAAGGCGAGCCTTGTTGGTGTCTACGCCAACAAGGCTCGCCTTGTCAGTATGGCGTAGGCAGACTGGTTACGAGTCTACAGCGCTTTGGTTGAATGCTCTTCGGTTGAGTCCCAAGAACAAAAGAGAAAAGACTCGATGCCCCACGTATGATAGGCTCAGCGCCCGAGTCGAACGGGTGTCTCTCGCAGAAACTGCACTATGGAGTTCGTAACACATGCGAGTGTGGACCGTCCACCACCAGCCGATACATGGTTGGTTCTGTCATTCAATATGCTACCAGATTTATCAGCTCTTTAGTTGAATCCCAAGAACAAGAACAAAAAAAGCTTCCCCGCCGGTATTTATACGGCGCAGGCCCGCTCGCAGAAACTGCACTATGGAACTCGTTACAACGGATGTGAGCGTGGACCGTCCACGACTGAGCTGATATGTAGTAGTTTGTGTTGTTGAATTTGCTACCAGGCTTATCATGCATGCTCTTTGGTTGAATCCCAAGACCAAAAAAAAAAACTCCTCGAACGTTCTGTATGGCTCGAGCCCGAGTCGAACGGGCGCCTCTCGCAGAATAATGTTCAACTTTTAACAGATGTGAGTGTGGACCGTCCACCACCGAGCCGATAAGAGGTACGTTGTGTGGTCGAATCTACTACCAAGTTCTTCAGGTCTTTGGTCGAATCTCAGATACTAAAAAGAAATGTCCGACAACTGTCTCTACGGCTCAGGCCCGGGTCGAACGGGGGTCTCTAGCAGAGAATTCTTGCAGATCTAACCGTATGCGAACATGGACCGTCCACCATTGAGAGCCGATATGAGGTATGTTGCGTTGAATTTGCTATCAAGTTCATCAGCCCTTTGGTTGAATCCCTAGCCAAGAATGATATGAAAATGGCATCCAGGCCGTTTCATGGCTCGGCCCCGAGTCGAACAGGCGTCTCTCACAGGATTGGAAATTTTGAGTCAGCAGCTGTAGGTGTGGACCGTCCACCACCGAGCCGATATGAAGTGCGTTGTGTTGTCGAATTTGCTACCAGACTTATCAGCTCTTTGGTTGAATCCCAAGAGCAACAAAAACGCTCAAGGTAACATCCGAATGGCTCAGGCCAGAATCGCAATATTCGGCAGGCTATAACGTGTGAGTGTGGACCATCCACCACCGAGCCAATACGTGGTCCGTTGTGCCGTTGAATTTACTCCCAAGTTTGTCAGCTCTTTAGTCGAATCGCAAGAACAAAAACGGACAGTCACGGTTGTGTGCGCCATGGCTCAGGTCCGAGTCAAACGGGCATCTCTCGCAAATCGCAATACTCGGCAGGCTATAACGTGTAAGTTTACCACTGAGGCAATATGACATAGGTTCTGTTGTTCAATTTACCAACAAATTTGTTAGCTCCTTGGTTGAATCCCAAAACAAAACTCTTGGCCGATATTCGCATAGCTCGGACCCGAGTCGAACGGGCGTCTCTCGCAGAAACTGCACTATGGAGTTTATAACAGATGTGAGTGTGGACCCTCTACCACCGAGCCATTATGAGACTGATTCTGTGCTTGAATTTGCTACCAAATTTATCAGCGCTTTGGTTGAATCCAAGTAATGGTGATAAAAAATCGTCCGACAATTGCTTACGCATGGCTCGGGCCCGAGTCGAACGGGCGTCTCTCGCAGAATCACAATATTCGGCAGGCTATAAGTGTGAGCGTGGACCATCCACCACCGAGCCAATACGTGGTATGTTGTCTTGTTGGTTTTACTACCAAATTTATCAGTTCCTTGGTCGAATCCCAAAAATGATCATAAAAGATTATCCGAAAATTGTCTCTACGGCTCAGGCCCGAGGCGAACAGGGATGTGAGTGTGGACCGTCCACCACCGAGCCGATATGAGGTGTCTTGTGCTGTCGAATTTACTACGAGATTTATCAGCTCTTTGGTTTAAGGAATTCTAATCCCAAAGAACGAACAAAAGAATGTGTTCACACAAGCGGCTCCGTGGCTCGGGCCCGAGTCGAACAGGCGTCTCTCGCGGAAACTGCACGATGAAATCTGTAACGGAAGTGAGCGTGGACCGTCCACGACCGAGCCGATGGGTGGTGCGTTGTGTTGGTAGATTTATTGGCTTGCAACTTGGGGGGGAGGAGTATCGTTCCTTGGTTGAACGTTGATAATTCATTGAATGAAGAGGAAATGTGCATACGGAAAACTGGTAGGACCGTCGGTCAGAGAACGAAGCTTCGCAGATTCAGGTCACAAAGCGTACTTTCTTCGAACGTGTGCAAGACTTTGACCAGCAACGTTGGCACGGTGAGCTCGGATAGAAGGAACTCTGAGTCGTTCCGTTCAATATGTCCCAGACTCGAAATTGGCACCAGAGTTTCGATTTAGTCCCACAAAACCGGTACCGCGACCCAGTTACGAGAGGGCTATAAGTATTATTGTTATTAAGCGGTATATCGTCCGAATTCGAAGCGTCGGGGACTGTCCGGGCGGGGACGGGAACGGTTGGTGCGGGGAAGCTGTGCGCGACAGATTGGGTAAGGATCGGCGGCGGGATATGCGGAAGTGTACTTAGCAAGTGTTAGTAGCCCGACGTCCCCAGCGCATGTCTTTGCGTTGGAGGCTGTTGGAGGAGGTTGGAGGTCCAAAAAGCTGGAAGCATTCACGCTGTCAGTTATCGGCGGCCGCAGTTTAGAGTCGCCAATCTCCGTCAGGCGTCGATTACATAGGCGCTGTCCTCACTTTTTAAGTGCCGGAGGCTTGTCGGAGGCAGTCGCGTGGCGCGGAGCCCGGCGACCCAGATTTGGCGACAGATTCGTCGTGCGGGATATCGGGGTGACGGATGACGAATTGAAGATCGGCCATGCACTGACTGGACCCGTCGTCGCCCAATGTCTGGACGTCGTCGTCAGTCTGTCTCGGTAACCCAGACGTTCTGTGTGATTCGCTATTCACTGCTGTTTCTTTATCTTATCACTTTCGGAATGATCCGTGATTGACAGAAATAAATGATAAGAAAAGATGGGCGCGAATCACACTAGAACGTCTGGGGCATTTGGTACCGTAAGGCTAGTCTGTTGTTTACCCGAGGGGTCGGATCGCAGTGCGCCGTTGTTTAGTAAGCTTACGTAAAAGCCGCACCGCCACGCCTTCCTCCTGCTTCCTCTCGCCGCCGCATCCGCTGCATCCAGCCCGTACGACCTCGCCTGCTCGCGGAATTGATTCTGGATGTCTCCCAGCCTCCCTTTAACCGATCCAGCGGCCATATGAACAGAAAATGGACGAGCTCGATGACCTACGGCAGTTCTTGTCTCCCCTGGGTCTCCCCTTCCCTCCCCGTTCAGCTACCGACTCTTTTTGGCGTTATCCTGTGCACAAGACACTACTAGACACTACTGGCTCTATCCCTAGCATTTCGTTGCTCCTGTGGAAGATTGACACGCGCCCAGCCCGATCGATATCGTCTCACCACCTGCACCTGCCGAAACATCCCCTGCGTGAACGTGAACGCAGACATCCTCCGGCCACGGGGAAAGGTAGAAAGAGTGGGTTTGGGCATGCAGGCGCGTGTTTTGTTCTCGAGCGTGTCCCTCGTTCTCATTTCGCTCTCCAGATCCTTTCCCCGGCAATTGTTCATGACAGGCACGCGTGTATGGCACGCCGCCACCGTCGAATTCAGCACATTGACTTGAGGGACCCGTGCGTGCCAAAGCTACCTCGTCTGTAATCTATGGTGCGTAACGTTCGATCTCCCCGTCTTCCTCGTCTCTCCTTCCCTTCCTTTTCTCCCATTCCCTTGATCCTACTCACGTTACCCTCTTCCATCCCCCTCCCTCCTCTCTCTCGTCTTCGACAGGACACTGCGCACGCTGTGACTGTCGCACCCATGCCCCGCCGCCGCCGAATCCTATGTCGCGTGCAGCGTCCTGGTAGTTTCCGACAAACTACGAGTGCAGGAGTACGGTGGGAACGTAAGGGCGAAGCGGCGGGCAGAACAGCGTGCTACGGGTTGGGGAGCACGGAACGTAAGAACAGCTGGAGGGCGGAGACGCGGTGGGCGCGAAACGGTGGGAACGGCGCACGACGGGGCGGGGCATGCGCCGCGTCGGTGGTCCCTCCAAGCCTGCGCATCGCCCGTACCCGTTGAACCGAGGTTGCAGGGATGCCACAAACCACCCCGCACGTTGCCGTGCGCATACTGCGTCGCCGGCCTTGTGCAACTCCCTGCGACACTGGGTGATTACTGCGCATGGATGGCGTGCACCCGTGCTCCCCGTCGCCTCCAGCGCGCCATGCCGATGTCTTGCTCTTCGGCACAGCAACTACGTAGCTAATTAGTTACTCCGTGCTCAGCCCAACAATTTGAATCAACTGAATTCAAAACCCTCTCAATAGTCGTAAGCTCTCGAGTTAAGGACTGAACGCGTTACGCAACTTTTGAAACGAAGAGGAACGTCGAAGAAATCCCAAAAGAAATTGAAGATGCCTTCATCTGTTATTTACCAGTAATACTGGCTGCGACGCAAGCAAAGACTAGTCCTGGGGGGGACGCCGCGCGTCGAGGAGAGGAGGAAAAGAATCATCGGGAGGGACCGGGCCGACATACTTTTACGTAAGCTTACTAAACAACGGCGCACTGCGATCCGAGCCCCTCGGTAACCAACAGACTCTAACAAGCGAGGAACGAGCTTCATATTGTTAGAGCGTCTGTCTACGAGAGACTACCGTAAGGCCCCTGGTCGCATCACGGATTTGCTGTCACGCATCCCCTCCATCTCGCGTTGTGCACCCTCAACGGCCCTCTATGTATTCCCCAAAATATGCATGCACACTGCATACATCTACTGAACACCCCGGTAATTTTTTTCGAAGAGCCCGAGAGCAAACTGGTCGCAAGCAGGGCTGATTCGCTGCAAAATACCTGCAGTTTCAAACGACGCGCGACGACCCAAAAGTTGCCGAAACAAATCCAGAAAAAAGGGGGAGCCCTTGGGGGATTGGCAGATATTGGGGCCAAAAGGGCAAAGGAGGGAGGAAGAGAAAGGGTTATGACGCGACCAGGGGTGTTGCTATACCAAATGCCCCAGACGTTCTGGTGTGATCTCCGCGCATCTTTTCTTATCACTTATTCAAACTCCGCCGGATCAATCCGTGGCACTGATAAGATAAAGATCACACCAGAACCTCTGGGTTACCGAGACAGGTCGTCAGTCGAGGGCTCTGGTGTTATGTCCTGGCGAATATTTGAATAGAAAGCTATTCAAATATTCGCGGCGTAGGTAGGTCAAGTGGAGTATGTGGACTTGTCTGGTATTGGTCGTTCGGTGGATTTGTCTATGACGCTTTCTATACTTCCTCTTTTTGTCATCACTCAGATATTCCCATGTTCGAGTCCCGCGAGTGTATTTGACTTCACTTTCGCCACCCCGTTCATGGATCCATGACTATTAGTTGAACAATGAATTAGTATATATATTTCTTGCTACATCATAATGTCTACAAATCCCGAGGGCGCACGGGTGGTGTCAACGGAAGCCCGGGATCAACCTGGATTTCAAAACAGATGCAGGCTTTGTTTTTCGGGGCGGCGCTACGCGCCGCCGCCCGAAGTACAAGTTTACACATTTTGCAATGAAACTCGTGTTGCGGGGCTCGGCCCAGCACATGCACGACCTGGGGTCGCGGGCGCGGCACGGCGCACACAAGCGCATGCTGACCATGCACGATGCAGAGGGCAGCACAGAGAAACTCGAAACGGCCGCACCGACAAGCGATCTCCAGTGGACAGCGTTCCTCAGGGAGTGCGACTACGAGGTGGACACGATGACGCTGGAGCGTGTCCCATCGATCGTCAAGTCGTTCAGCGCGGAGGTACTTAGACACGTAGATGCGGTGGATGCACTGATTACGTTAAGCTAGCACCTCCTTGATTCGCTGCTGCCCATGCTGTAGATGTCGCGCGGGACTGATTGTGCATCCGGTTTCTTGAAGTCGGAGTCAGGCATCGTCGGATTGGTCTGCAATTGGAAGAAGGAGTGAGTAACTAGATGGATAAGATCCCGTAAGACGCACCTGGGCTGTCCGGGAGAAGAATTTCGGGCGGCGCGTAGCACCGCCGCCGCCAAGTGCCCAAATTTCGATTGAGCGCATGTATATTGGCAATGCCGTTGCGCGTGCGGTGAATTCTAGACGCCAGCTGCCGTAGCGAACACGAGACTCGTATGCGAGCGGCTTTGCGAGTGCGTAGTTCTGCGAAATTCTGCCCTTGCGTCGTTCGCTAATGGTGGTGCAAACGACGAAAGACAGCGGCAGCACCGAGGGTGTGTCCCCTCAAGTGCGCCACGATTGCAGTCTCGCAAGAACACTGCGAGGAGGAGAAAATCTATGACACCAAAAAAACAGAACAAATCCAAGGAATCAAGGATGCGCGAACCGTCTCACCATCAAACGGCTCAAGACTGAGGCCCATTCCCAGGCAGACATTCCAAAAATGCGCAGAGACAAATGACAGAGATTGCCCAAAGATTGTCGACAAAACTGTGTTCCGATTGTGTGGACTTGAGCAGGGCCCTTGCGGGCAGAAACAGCAGTGTTGAGCTTCATAATAGTGTTACCGAGTGGTGGTGGCCAACTCAGAGGCCAGCTGGACGAGGGACGTTGAGGGGGTACGAGAGAGAGGGGTGGGAGATGGCAAGCAGAGTGTGGGAAGAATCATGCCCATAAAAGG